GACTCAAGTCTCGTAACTGAAGAAAACTTGGGTTGCCCCGAGACCGGTATTTGGTAGAGCAGAATTGCCCAAATCACATTTTAAATAACTTTGCACATGTCGTTGCTCATGAGATAAAAGCCATGGAGAGGTCCAGCTTTTCATCTGTGCACAGAAACCTCCAGTTCAGGCCGGATTTCGTTCGTCATTTGCGTCGGAATGTGATAGCTGCTCGTCGGCATCGCAGAGCCCTGCGGGATTCAGCACGATTTCTTCCTAAGGGAACGGCTGACAGGGGCTGCATCCGTGCGGGCATTTTCACATACACTGGCAGAAACCTACAGAAGTCTTGGCTGAACTTTCTAGGGCCGGCAACGGCCGTTACTCTTTCACCTCCATGCGCAATAAAACTCTATTAAAGAGTGCTTTTTTTTTGTGCGCACACACGCAGCGGCACTTCCAAGCACTTTTGTCATTGGAATTTGTATTCTTTTGGGGGGATAAAAAGTATCCCAGCAATCAAAGCCTTGGGGTATTTCTCTGCTATTTTACTTCAAATTTTTCTAAGTGTCATGACAGATTTTTTTTTAATTGTTATTAGATGACACTCTCTCTCTCTCTCTCTATATATATATATATATGCGCGCATGCTGCTGCAGCTCTTCATTGCTAGACCCCTCTCACCATTAAAACCGTACACCTCCTTGAAGGATGTTAAAGCTGTTTTTCAGGTGGAACAGAGAGTGCTGACCAGCAGTCCTCTCCCTGTCCTGCTTCTCCATCTCTACCTAAGAGACACAGCATCGTGCCAGCGTTATTTCCCAGCCCGAAGCACCAGCTTTATTGCCCTCTAGCAGCAAACTAAAATTCAGTTGTTAATAGTCTTCCTATGGCAAATTTGCAGGAGAGCTGCTCCCTCTGCTGAGTTTTCTGTTGATCGCCACCGGCACCTGATGTCCTTCCTCACCATGCTGGGCCCCAGCCCCGACTGGAACGTGGGTCTGTCTGCCGAAGACCTCTGTACCAAGGACTGTGGCTGGGTTCAGAAGGTCGTTCAGGATTTGATACCCTGGGATGCTGGCACAGACAGTGGTGTTACCTACGAGGTATGTGGACTGTTTGTAATACAGTCAAAACGAAGTTTACCTTAAAGCGGCGAAGAATGAAAGCTATTTGATCCATAGCGATGCCACATACGCCTTTATGCTACTCTCCGAATGAATTAAAAGGCATTTACGCAGATGCTAGCTACAGTTGCTGTTGGTCATTGGGGATGAACGTTGTGTCTGAATTCCCTGAGCATTATTATTAGCGGGATAATATGACATTCACCTGGGATATTCACCTATTGAATAAATGGAGGACTTATTTTTGCTCAAAACTAAGCATTACGGTGTGCCACCCCTTTGATACAGATCTGCGTGCAGCCACGTCAACCTGAGTTTTCTACTGTTTCAACCCAATGCCAACTATTCTGTTTGACACAGAAAACTTAACTATTCCTGAGAACAGGGACTGAAACCCTGGACTTCTCATCCCTACGAGACACTAAACCCATCCATTTTCTCTGTCTCCATTACTCTCTAGGAAGACAGTCACATCACCCTCAGGTAAAGTCCTGGTTTGACCAAACGAGTTATGCCAAGTTAAGGGACTGGTTAGATCTCCGTAGGTGACAAGCGTACCTACGCTATGCTTCTATCCAGACATCTGAAGTGACAAGAGATTTGTCACCTCCTCAAATACCACGCATACTCCCTTTTCAGATGACAGAAGATGGTTGTTATTTTCTTTCAGACCTGGTCTCTTTAGAACCTAAGGAATTTCTCAATATGCAGCTCTGGATGCATATTGAATTTTTTTTTTTTTTTATTAGTATAGTCACCTAACCACACAACAGGGCATATAATTTATTGTGAAAGCAGCTTCAGGACTGAATCCTGAAGTGTTAGAGAAGTGCTTCCTGACAAAAAACAAAAAAAAAAACCACAAAAAAAAATCCCAACACCTTGCCATTAAGTATGATTGTGCCAAGCTCATCTTGTATTGGAATTTCCCAGCTTATCATTTCAGAGTAGTTTTCACTTCTGCAGATGATCTGTATTAATAACAATTACTAATAGTTTCTTTTTTAACTTTTTTTTTTTCTTCTTTTTGCTTGCAGTCTCCTAACAAACCTACAGTGCCTCAAGAAAAGATCAGACCACTTACAAGCTTAGATCATCCTCAAAGTCCATTTTATGATCCAGAAGGAGGATCTATCAAGCTGGTAGCCAGAGTTGTCATTGAGAGAATTGCACGCAAGGTATATTATGTAGATAAAATTCTCAAGCAAGTAAAAAAAACCCCTTCATAAACAAAAACCCCCCTGATGATCCTCTCCCCTCCATCCCAATCTATACTCTTTAACCTACCCACCACAAAGATAATGGCAGAAAAGAACTAAAACTGTCTAAAGGTATGATTTCTCCTACCTTTGGTAATTACTGTAGCTGATTAACTGGGGATTTTTTTAATGTATGCACATGAATTAGAAGAGAAAAAAGTGCTGTATATAGTGTCTCACAGTATACTATTTTAAACCCTCTTGCTGCGTCAACATACGAGTTTCCTGTATCCAAACTCCACAATAATTTCTTTGCAGGGGGAGCAATGCAATATCGTACCTGATAACATAGATGATATTGTGGCGGATCTAGCACCAGAGGAAAAGGAAGAAGGTACATTTTAAATTAGTTTGTGCTGTACTACTTTATATTTTGTTCCATTCTCCACTGTCATTTCTCAATAAAGTACAAAACTGCCTTCAGAGCAGAAGTCCCACTCAGTGCCAAAAAGTGATTGAGGTTTTTATATTTTCTGTTATCTACTATTAACCTTCCTTTATACAGCAAAGAAACTGCATGTATACCGATAAAAGCGAGAAGCCTTTGGGCTTTCAAATAATTTTTTTTTTTTTAAGTTGGCAATTAGTCTTTTTCTTCTGGGCTAAAATGAAGAAGATAAAACGCGGGAGGGAAGAATGTCTCCTGTTAGCGTCTAACGTAATGACCAGCCGCATAAAGAGAAGCAAATGGAAGACTGTTTTTAACATTCACCCCCTTTTCTTCCTTTTTAGATGATACCCCTGAGACCTGCATATATTCAAACTGGTCCCCGTGGTCAGCCTGCAGCTCCTCTACCTGCGAAAAGGGCAAGAGGATGAGGCAGAGAATGCTTAAAGCTCAGCTGGACCTCAGCGTGCCGTGTCCGGACACCCAGGATTTTCAGCCGTGCATGGGTCCAGGCTGCAGTGATGAAGGTAATCATGAGGAAAGAGTGGAGAACACCTCCCTCAAGGGTTTACTCTTCAAGTTCTTGAAGCTGTTGGTCGCTGCAGTATGGCTTAGTTTATGACAAACAGAGGAGTAATTGCAGAACACAAATTGAAGCCGTGCCTGATCATTTCTGCAGCTTCTCCAAGTCGGTGAATGGAGGATACAGAAGTGTAAAGGGAAGGAGTAAATAAGCAATAAAGGACAGAAAGTGAGGGGCAGCGTGATACTGTACACTAATGGACAGCTACAGATCGGTCAGCAGTTCTGTTAGTATTAGCAATTGAATTGCTTCTCTGTATTCTAGATGGTTCCACTTGCATGATGTCTGACTGGATTACATGGTCCCCCTGTAGCGTTTCCTGTGGGATGGGAACGCGATCTAGAGAGAGATATGTAAAACAGTTCCCTGAAGACGGCTCTATGTGCAAGGTGCCTACTGAAGAGACAGAGAAATGTATTGTAAATGAGGAATGTTGTAAGTATTTTCTGTAGCTTTGTCAAACCCAGCCCATAGCAGAAGCACTGCCCAAACCTTTTTTTGTTATATGAGCCGTACTCACGGACGGTTTTCTCTGTCCGTTTTGACTAGCCCCTAGCAGCTGCCTGGTCACTGAATGGGGAGAGTGGGATGAATGCAGTGCCAGCTGTGGCACGGGGATGAAGAGACGACACAGAATGATCAAGATGACTCCCGCTGATGGATCCATGTGCAAGGCAGAAACTACAGAGGCAGAGAAATGCATGATGCCTGAATGCCGTACGTGTCCGTGAGTTCATCCTGTCCATGACAAAAACAAGCATCATTTCTGATGTGTTGCTCCACCACCACAAGATTATAACTAACCCAGAAGCAATGTTGCGTTTTTTCTTGTTCTCCTTAAAATTAGATCGCATGGGGAATGTGCGTTAAGTACCACATTCGCCATCAAGATGAGAGCATCAGGAAAAACTACTTGGTGGTATCTTATTACTGTACGACGCATACAGTGATGAGTGTGTTAGCAAGCCATACCTAAGCAACTCTGATTTAGGGAATACAAGGTATATTTAATCTTGAGGCTAGAATTAAACAGTGCCCTCTCCTTGTAGCCCATGAACAGTTCAGAAATTGGGTCAAGTCTTTTGTGCAGTCAGCCAGCCTCACCCTTATTACTGTGAATATTATTTTTAATTTTTTAACGAAACGTTAAGATTTTCATCAGAGGCAGAATTAAGTTTAAAAAGAGTTTGGGTAGATAAAATGTGGAAGCATCACGTTTTACGGTATATCAATTTGACTTCCAGGGCTGTCCGTTGCAACGATCCAGGGTTTTTTTACTGGAGTTACGATTGTAACGTACCTCCTTAAACTATTTATTCCCTAAAAACAGATACAAATGAGCTACAGAAAAGGTATTAAAACCGAAGAAACCTTCCAATTTAATAGTCTTTCCTGAGCTGCTTCAGCAACATCATTCAGCTTGTGATTCACTTTGTCCAACCTCTGACAACAAAGTATAATTGGTTGATGACAGATAAAACATAGTACATTTTCCACCTGTATTCTTTACAAAACGTATTTCTTTGTAATTTATGTATAACAAGAACTCATTTATTCTTTAATTTTTAATTTTATTAATTTAATTTGAAACTTCTTTATTTTCTCATTAGACACCATCCCCTGTCTCCTCTCTTCTTGGTCTGAATGGAGTGACTGCAGCGTAACGTGTGGGAAGGGGATGCGAACCCGGCAAAGGATGCTGAAATCTGCGGCCGAGCTTGGAGACTGCAACGAGGAACTGGAACAAGCAGAGAAATGCATGCTGCCCGAGTGCCGTGAGTGCGGGGAACTCGGGGGAGGAGGAGGAGGTTCATTCTGCCCGGTACAGTCTGTGGGCCACGACGCCCCCACCAGTTCTCAGCGTTGCTTCTTAGACGCTTACAACAGCTCCTTTTTCATAGAAAAGTTATTACGGAGACAACTATTTCCTGCTTGCCTTTGGTTACGGAGCAGAATTTGACAATTTTAGAGAAATGCTGTTTGAAATTAGGAATTTTCGCTTTCTGTTTCTGCTTTAGAGGGGGGTCTACAGTTGGCGAGAGTAGTCCTTGCCTCCTGAACTCTGTAAACAAGTGACCCGCTACTCTCTTCTGATCCGTGTTTTCCATCCACGTTTCACTCCTAAACCTACCTACAGGAGAATCAGTAGTATGGGAGTTTTATCATCTGTGTATTTTTTTTTTTAATTATTGTATTTTATTACTGGTCTGTACTTTTGGCTATTGAGAGCTGGAATATGATCACGGCTTCATTGCAGCTTGCCTTACTCTATACTGCTGACCGATATTGCTTTGGGTATATGGCTTCTCCACGTTTAACACTCTAAACTTTTAGGCAACAGTTTATGCACTTCTCAATCGTGAATAAGTCAGCATTATATATAAATATTTTTACTCAAATGCAGAATGGGTGCTTGGGAGGACGGACTGAAACAAGGAAGGATTAAAATCACCCGTGTGATTGTTTTAGCTCACAGAGGCTCCATCTCTGACCTGTATCATCACCTTGTTACGGATCCACATCCTTTTGCCACCTGGAATATCTTTTTTTTTTTTTTTTGCCTTACTCCTCTAGAATCCCCCACTTCTTGGACAGTGCAAGTTTCTAGTTGTTTTGCCATCTTTGTGAAGCACGGTAGCCTAAGGCACCGCTGGATAAGAGAGGCTTGCTTTTAGTGTCCTCTTGCCAGCTGGTTTATGAGGCTTTAGAACTAATTACATTATTTTTCACAGTAAGTATTGGCTAAAAAAGGCTTTTACGCTGTAATTTGCTAATTCAGCTTTTCAAAAATAATGTGAAATATCTTTTTGGTTAGTATTTACTGGGGCTGTGAGTTTTAAGCAGCGCTGAAGAGATGAAAACTCTTAAGACGTAACGGTGTTGGTGAATCTTGCTTAGTAAAGGCTGAGATTAATTGAGGAAGGCACAGAACTCTTTATATGTTTTCTGTAATTTTAATGATCTGGCAGCACCGCTCCTGAAGGAGAAATGGAGCAAGGTGTCAAATCAGAGTTCTGCCAGAATCGGGCTCTGAAAATTTTGCCCATGTGCCCTCACAAAACTCGCGGAGAAGACGGGAGGCGTCAGCTGCGCTCGTGTATTCAGGCAGTACAGACGGGTGGGGTACAGCCGTGCGTTTCCGCTTGGTCTGATGGTTTCTGTGTCCCACCCCCTGTGCGCAGCCATCGACTGCGAGCTGACGGAGTGGTCGCAGTGGTCGGAGTGCAACACCTCCTGCGGGAAGGGCCACAGCATCCGCACCAGAATGATCAAAACGGAGCCCCAGTTCGGGGGAACGGCCTGCCCAGAGACTGTCCAGCGCACAAAGTGCCGAGTGAGGAAATGCCTGAGGGGCCCAGGGATGGAAAAACGGCGCTGGAAAGAGGCACGGGAGAAAAGGCGAAGTGAACAAGCCAAAAAAAATCTGGAGAGCGAGCAGTACCCAGGTGAGGGGGAAGGCAGGGCGGCGCGAGGGCAGCGGCTCTGCTCCAGGAGGGACAACACACGGGGCGGGGCAGGGCAGCCCCCACAACCCCCCACCCCGAGGCACACAGCCCACAAACTCCGTGCTGATTTGATTAATTTTTATAAATTTTAAAATTTTATCTTATTTTTATTCTAGGATTTTTATTTTATATCTAATTTCTATTTTTAATGTGTTGAGTCTTAATAGAATCTCTCATTTCATTTTACTATTTTCACATTTTTCGATTTTTGCACATATTATTCACTTTTGCCACGCTTCACACATTCTTTACGTTGTTCCTATTTTTTAACATTTTTTCACTTCTCCACATTCTATAAATTTCTCCCTATTCTTTACATTCTTCGAATTCTCCGCATTCTTTCCAGTCTTCTCATTTGTAGAATTCTTCACAGTTTGAATTGTTCGCGTTCTTCAGGTTTTTTTTGCATTCCTCGAATTTTTCTATTATTTGCTTGAATTCTTTACATTCCTCATGTTCTTCGCATTATTTACACATTCCACATTCCTCAAATTCTTTGCATTCTTTATATTTTCCATTCACACATTCTTTACATTCTTCGAATTCTTTACATTCTTCAAATTCTTCGCATTCTTTACATTTTTGAATTCTTCGCATTCCTCACATTCTTTGCATTCTTCGAACTCCTCACATTATTCAAATTCCTCACATTATTCACATTCCTCGAATTCTTTGCACTCTTTGAATTCTTTACATTCTTCGAATTCTTGACATTTGCATTCTTCACATTCCTCGCATTCTTCAAATTCTTTACATTCTTCGAATTCCTCGCATTCCTCGAGTTCTTTGCATTCTTTGAATTCATTCATTCTTCAAATTCCTTGCATTATTCAAATTCCTCACATTCCGAGTTATTTACATTCCTTGAATTCTTTGCATTCTTCGAATTCTTTACATTCTTTGAATTCTTTACATTCCTCGAATTCTTCGCATTCCTCGAATCCTTTTCATTCCTCCCATTCTTCGAATTCTTGACATTTGCATTCTTCACATTCCTCGAATTCTTCGCATAACTCAAATTCTTTTCATTCTTCAAATTCTTTACATTGTTCAAAGTCTTTGCATGCCTCACATTCTTTACATTCTTCAAATTCCTCGCATAGTTCGACTTTACGTTCCTCGAATTCTTTGCATTCTTCAAGTTCTTTACATTCCTCACATTTCTCGCATTCTTCGAATTCCTTGCATTCTTCGAATTATTTGCATTCTTCAAATTCTTTACTTTTTAATTCTTCGCATTCCCTCACATTCTTTACATTCTTCGCATTCTTGACATTCTTTGCATTCCTCGCATTCCTCACATTCTTTACCTTTTTTCACGTTCCCCAATTTTTTGATATCCAAATTCTTGACATTCTTCAAGTTCTTTGCAGTCTTTGACTTCTTTGTATTCTTTGCATTTTTTTCCCCCTTCTTCAGTTTCCACACCTTTTTTACGCTTCTTTATTTTCCTGTTTATTAAGAATTTTGTCCTGGCAACTTCCAGTGTGCTATTACTACAGCACTGGATTATAATCTTCACATCCAGTTCCCTCCGAATTTTGCATCTATTTGGTTCCTGGCTCTTATACTCTATTTCCCACCTCCGTTAATTTTGCCCATCATCAGCTGCTTTTTTCAATACAGAACCCTCTTATCATCATCCACTTATCCATTTAATACCTTGTGTTATAGTTTGTTATCTAAGTATGAATTGCTGCGAAGTTGTGGTTCATATTTTCCCCTCACTTAACAATTTCTTCATTTTATCTATCTTTTCTAATTTAAGCAGTGTTTAGGTTTAATACCTTTTTTTTTTTCAGTGTTTGATAAATGCCCTTTGACTGGGGTTTCTCACTTCCTTCTCTAATACCCTGCACTATATTAGGTTCAAAAGCTCTATATGTGCACACATGCATAGTGGTATACACTTTAAGACTTGTAGGTTAAGCTGAAAGACTAAAAACTTAATCGAGTTACTTACTTTTTCAGTTTGTAGGCTGAAACCATGGACTGCTTGGACAGAATGTTCTACACTGTGTGGAGGTGGAATTCAGGAACGCTACATGTTGGTGAAAAAGAGGTCCAAAAGTACTCAGTTTACTAGCTGCAAAGACAAAAAGGAGTTAAGAGCATGTAATGTTCATCCTTGTTAACAAAACACAAGGCTTCCAAGTGATGCACTCTGAGCTAAATGGAAAGTCAACCTTTGTTTGATTTTTAAAACAAAACAAAAAAAAAAACCATGAAGTGTATATTACTTTTCATTTTTTGCAGTGTGGTTTGCTTTTTAGTCTTGCTGGTGCAAGAAATATATTTTATAAATATTGCCTCACAGATTTATGCTGAGAGTAAATCTTTGGTACTCCAGCCAGCCCTTAATGCATAAAAATACTAAGTCATTCCGAGTCATTGAACTAAAATACACACATATCTGTGGACATGGAATAGCCATATAGAAATACTACTTGTAAAGATATGGGATGCATGCATATTACCATCACTAAGTTGAAGTGACATGTTTCATATGTGGGAGGATTTCTCTCCCCATTTGATTTTAAAAATCCAAAGCAGTGCCTATGTGATAACACAACTATGCCAAGGAGTCATTTCAGTAATGCTGGTTCTACAATACTAAAGGTGCATGTTTATCTTTTTACACTATTGGGTTAAGCTGACAGTTAATAATAATTATCCTATACGCACTTTTCTTCACACGGATGCTATGGTCCATGCAAAATGGTGTTTCTTTAAACCTTAGAAAGGAAATAGTTTGTGCAGCTCAATAGGGATGTCCTGCCCATTACACAGTCAAAACAGCACACCGAGAAAACCAGTGAATGTCATACTCTATATTTAGATGCCATATTCTTTTATTGGGTCTATATACTGCCTCTCAAAATGGGTGCAGAACTAATAGAAACGGGTCCAAACACAGAGTTGCAACTGCTGTGTCACAGAAAGACCTGAGAGACACTAGAAAATTAGATTCAGTTTCATGAGGATGTTAATCACAAGCTAAGGGATAAAGAGATTTATAATATAATAAAAATGGTGGAGAAAAGGTGAGCCAGGTTCTCATGCATCTCTGATAACAAACGAAGGGACATCTCTTATAATAAACAAATATTTTCTCTGAAATCAAACCTTGACAGCCTCTTAAAATATTGACTGCAGATTGACACAAAAATATATTCATATCAGTGTCGTTTATAGGGGTTTTTTTTTTTACTCCGAGTATAAAAGGTTCTAAAACCTACTAAATTCATGGGAATTATTAATTTATAGACATTCTAGCTAGGATAAATGTCTTCCCTGACCACTTCAGCAATCAACAAACCATCTGAGATATTAGAAAACAGCATCTCACCCTTCTAACTGCTGTTTTACAGTGACTTCTGCAGAGCTTAGCTCTCATCCCTACACATAGGTGTAGGACCAGCAAGACCTTGGGCTTCACTTGCTACCGGAAGATAACACTGTCCTGTACGTTTTACAATCTGACATTAAAGACGGGATGAAAGCGACGGGTTATCTTTTGGTCCAGGGAAGGCAGCGTCCACCTATGTCTCTACATCAGTAGTAGCAATGCACTGAAAATCAAGACTGTTGCTGCTGACCTCTTAAGCTGGAGAGAAGTGAATCGAGAAAAAAAATTATTTTATCATCTCTTTAAACCAACCTTAAGTAATTTTACTCACTCCCTTAACACTTGGTCACAATCCTGAGAACATGACACCCAAGTTTTTTTGCTGTGGAGCACAACTGGGGATGCTCAGCCCCCCTCCCCGTGTACCCGGACGGCCTGCACGGACTGGCTGCACTACACTTAGGGCTTGTCATCATCACTTCCCCACTGAACACTGCAAGGGCTGCTCAGGACTTCCACACCTGTCCCATCCCACCTTCTCAAGGTATTTTTTGAGATCTGGAATAAAGGGAGGACCAGGGACATAATGGAACCAACCACAGTGTTAAGCCTCTCCCACCGCTGCTAAATGAAATGGGTGCAAGCCCATAGTGAACCAAACCAGGAGGAAAAAAGAAAAGTATACAACAAGATTTAATGCTAAAACCAAACATTTTACGTTTTGCACAGCTTGGCTCATTTAATAACATTAATTCAGATAGTGTGCCTGTTGAAAATTCTGCAGTTCATGTCTCTCTAGCACTGTCATTACAGTGTAGCAGCAAGACTGTCCCTAAGATATTTATGACCTTACCTTGCACATTAACCTTTTTATGACCAAAAAAACCCAACCCAACAACAACAACAAAACCAACAGTGGAATGTTACAGACACTGGAGGAGTGCCCAGCTGAGCGTATTTCAGGTGAAGCAGCAGATGGCTGCAGAGAAGGAGCTCAGCCAGGCGGAGCTACACGTGCAGTCACGATCCACACAGCACCTACCTGCGTGGGCTGCCCTTAGCTAGAGGCTATCCCAGCTGAGGCTAATCGTTCCGAAAAATAATCTTGGCCTATGAGATGTGTGACACTGGGTTTTGTAGGCTTGGATCTGTGAGAGCTTGGGGCAGAGGGACCAGCAGCAGCAAGTTTCTCCTGAAAGGAAAGAAAAATGCCATGAGTTTATAGACAATATTTTATCTCATCAAGGCTTCCCATTTGTTCAAGCTAATCTTGCAAACCCGTGCCTATTTCTGCAAGTAATTAAACCCAATGTCCTAGTTTCACTTTCATGTTTGTTCCAGTTCATCAAGCTGTTTTGTCTTTTAATTGCTCCCTTTGCCAAAGGCTACGTAGTCCAAATACACATTTAGGTATATAGGAAATATAAAACATCCTGCTGAATATGCCCACAAAATTGTCCATTAAAACAATCTGGCGTTCCTTTCACTGTGGCTCTTACTAATTTGATTCTCCATATACTTTTTTTTTTTTCTTCTCTCAGGAGGCCGTTCAGTATGATTTCCAGTCATTTCTCTTAGGCTCATTAAAGTTATGAATGTTGAAATTTTATTTTTTTTTTCCCCCACCTTGTTAATACTTTCAGCGACAACGTAGATTGCACTGGGTCAGGAATGTGTGATCCTTCTTGCTTGGGTTCAGCTTTTCACACTGGTTTTCTGTTGACACATTTTACACATCACTTGTCTTCTAATTTGATACGAAAGAAATATTTAAGCTTGTTACATTTTGTAAAAAAAACAAAAACACAAATGAAGAAAAAATGAGGTTGATTTTCTATTGAGAATAAAAGCTCTGATATACAATATGTAGAAGTATTACGTTACTGTAAACTTTCTAGTAGTGTAATAGCCACTGATTATCAGTCAATAAAAATGAGAACTGTTATCTCTATCTCCTGAAGAATACTGCTGAACTGAAAGCACAGATGTCACTCCAGTTTTGTAGACCTCAACTATCAGATCTTAGCATTGTGTGTAGCCTTTTTTTTTTTTTTCCTAACATACAAGCTGTAGAAGATTTACACGTAATTAAAAAAAAAAAAGAGAAGTTTAGGGGCTTAACAAATGTACAGTAGGACTCTGTGTGCAGCATACGATTTAAACAAAGTTCTGTTTGATTGCGTTTTTAGATTTCCTTTGTTGTTTTTGTTTGCTGTGGAATTATGAAAAAGCTACCATGAATATTTCTTACCAAAGTCTTGTGTAGATGTTTTGTAGCTGTCTGGCTAACACATTATTATTATTATTTTGGAATAAAGACATCTTTACTATGATTTTTATGCTTGTATGTGACTCTGTTCAACTAATATGATTATGTGCACCAACACCCCCCCACACTTACCAGCATAAGGAGTCGCTTTTATTTACATTTTACTCCTCTTCAAGCTAACAGGATATCAGGAGTGAGCTGGGGTTTAGTAGAGCCAGTCATTCTTTCCGCTTGGAAGTTATTTGCATGAAGGATTTTGTCATATAGTTTGTTGTTCTTTCGAAGTCACAGGGTAACTCAAGATCCTATTCAAATTACCCTGTATTCCTCCCAGGCAAGTTTTGTTGCTGCTCTTGGTTTCTAATAAAAGAGAATCTATTTAAAAGAAAGCACCAGTACCTCAACCACAGTTGGTCTGCCAGTACTGTCTGTAAAACTAGGCTGGGCAGGAATAGCACTAGGGTTAGCAGAATAAAGAAGTCCCAGAGCTGCCTCTCCTGCAGCGCCGTTCAGCTTTGGGAGGTGGTGAGCACCACCTGGGGAGAGCCAGTGCCTGAACAGTTTAGTGCTCGGGCCAGCAGAACGACGGGTCCCAAAAAACATCATCTGGTTCTTGGGGAAGTAGAGGGAGGACAATACCTAAGACACATCCACAAAGCCTCCTTAAGGAACGCCCCAGATGGGACTAGTGAGCTTAGTGTTAGGATTTATATTTTTGTTGTATCAGTATAAGCACTGAGTCAAGGGAATTGGGCCAACAGCTGAAAAAAAAAAAAAAATGTAGACAACAGCTCTCATGCTTCACTCAAACTCAAGGTATTACATAGCATTTTCCCACAAAACTTCATCAACATAAATCAAAGTTAAGAACAACAAAGAAGGCTTTTACTTAGACAGTCCTTCAACGCACTTGAGCAGTGAGTGAGGGAACCAAAAAAAACTTTCTTTCTAGAAAAGAAAGGGTCTAGATTAGAATTTTAGAAGGTGAAAGTGGTCTAATAGCATGAGTTCAAAATGCATAACGCGTTACGAATGGGAGAAGCTAATTTTTATACCACTTACATAAATACAGAGAGAACGATATGTACAGGAACAGTATTTCCAAGTGCAAACAAGCAGCTCTAACTATTTAGAAAGGTTAAGACATTTACATTCTACCCCAGAAGTTTCCATTAAGGGAAAAGATGAGCATTTGTCTTACTGGCTATTTGCAAACACATAGTTCTGCTTCTTGTTCTACGACGTGTTTCAGCTTCTACCTTAAAGACCGGGAATGAGCATAAGTATCTGTAAATGGATCATTCCTGTGTACAGAAGTAATGTTAATACAGGCTTGAAATGTCTTTACTGGAACCTGACCTATCAGAGAAATCAAATCACATCCCACTAGATGGCACTGGAAGCCAACACACAGCTGAGTGCTTGGGGAAGGGGGAAAAAAAACACCAAAAAAACAACAACCCACAAAAAAACCACCTAAGCAACAGCATCTCTAGGCACAGCACCACTGACTGCAAGGATCTGCAGTGGGTAGAAGTCAGCAGTTTTCTCTCTGTATCTGCCAGCTCACAACTGCTGACAGCGAGACCCTTACCACTGCAGCCATGCCAGGTACCTCGCGGGGAGGCATGGATCTCATCCCAACTTCCTTTAATTAGCTGCACAAATGCTAATGGATGCAAATCGGATGAGAAGGGGATGAGAGGAATGTAGTGAAACGAGCCAACATTTATTTTCTGCCCATGGAGGCACATACACCTGCGGACTGCTCTTCCAGCAGGGCATCCAGACTTTCCCCTGGAGAAAAAGCGTTTTTACGACTCTTCGGAAGCAGCTCCACCGCAGAAATCCTACAGCCCTAGCAATAAACCACTCAGCCAGGAGGTAGGAATCCTAAAAGGGAGGGCAAAGGAGGTGAGGTTTAAAGCCAGCCTCCCCCAGAGCTGTACTGGGGTGAGGGGGCTGGTGCCCGAGCTGAGCTTCCCAAGTCACCCGCGGGGCTGGATGGAGGAAAACGCCTTGGCTGAAGCCAGGGTTAGAACAACACATGGGGTTTTAAGGCTGGCGTGACTCAAAAGTCATTTTGGTGCCTAGTTTCTTCTGGAGTAAGATTTTCTGTACTCAAAGCACCTGTTGTAGCTGTGGTGGCATCGTTTTGTTCACCACTATAATGTGAAGATCATCATTTTACATGTGAAAATGGTTTCGAACTATCAAGAAATCCGAATGACTTATTACAGAACGGCAGCCCTAGCCCTCAGCTGCTTGATTTGAGTGCAAATGGGCAGCTACACCACACAGCACTCCTACCTACATAAAACCTTTTCTGTGCTCATATTAAGCGTAGCTTACAGGGACCGGAAAGCTTTTTCTCTTCTTGGAAAGCATTGTCCTTGTGAAAAGCCATCCAAGAAGAATTACTGCGTTATGTGCAATGATCCCCACACCACTAGCAAACAGCTAACTCTTTACCATTTAACATAGATAATGCAAAAAAGAAAATCAGCAATACTTATCTCGTACGACTTTTCAAGTCATGTCCAGAGCCATGTCCAGCTTCATGCTTCCAGACAGCATCACTTCCCTGCCCTCCCGTAAGCAGGACCTGCAGCAGGCACCACGCCGTGTGTTCCATCAAACACGTTCCAGCCAATAATAAGCCATACTAGAGCGAAGGCAGGGCTGCGCCCAGCAGCATTTCAAGCTTAGGACAGGAGCTCCTCCAGGGAAGCTCCCTCAGCGCCCCCCGAACACTGCCGACAATAGAGCCGGGTGGGCTGAGGGGAGCGACGGGCACGGCGCACGCTTACCGGGATGCTGAGAAACTCCTTTCCTCTGGGAATTCTTGGTCCCTCTCCGCTGTGCGCCGCGGCTGAACAGCTTAACACGTTTGTCTTCTTTCACACCCAGCCCTTTACCGTACCACGCTGCTCCCCCTGCGAGAAACCTGGAGAAATATCAAGTGAACTCATGAAGAGCAGGGCCCAGAAAGGGACGGAGGGCTGGTTAGCAGGGCAAACACACCGCTTAGGGACAGCGGTAGGTTTGTCCTTTTCTGTTCAAAATCCGAACACATAAAGCCATTTGCTGTGTCATCTAAGAGAGATCGAAACACACCTTAAACATTTTGGGTTCAAGCGGGTTTCAACAACAATGAGGTCCCAGGTTCAAAATGCTTTTTGCCTTTCTTGGAAAAAGAAATCCAAACATCAGCTTATGCCACCAGTTCAGTATGATAAATAAAAGTTTTTTTGGCTCAGAATCAGAAAAGGGAAAACAAATCTGAAAAAGTAAATTTTGGGGATCAAACAGAATTTTTAAAGCTTCATATTTTAAATATTTTAAAGCTTCAAGTACCTATTTGGGAACATTTTAGCTGCAGTTGAAATTAAAATGTTTTAAATGTTTTGTTTAATCTCACATGAGCTATTTCAAAAGAGCTTTTTCTCCTTTTTCATGTTAACGAAAATTCCAAAATTAAACCAATTTCAAGTCAAGAAGTCAGCAGCTTTGTCTATTTTGAGGTAATTTAGGAAATGTTTTTAGTGTGAATCACTTAAAGCAGAACATTTCAAATTGTTTATAAAAAATATTGATTTCCTATTTTTATCAATTAGAAAAAAAAAATCAAAATTTTAATTATCAATAAAAACAACAGGTATGCATATTATTCCAGGTAACAGTTACCAAACTGATTCTCACTTACGGTAGGTGCTGCTCTACTAGTTACAGTACAAATTTTACACTGGTGATTAGAATACAAAATACACAAGGAGCACTCCTAATATTTTTATTTTATGAACTATAAAAAAAAAAAAGCTTATTTAGGCATTTTCGAATTCTAAACGTAAAATATATCTGCAAGCAAACGTACTGTTCCTTTAAAATACTAGATTTCACGCTGAGGTTCCTCTTTTCAGTTTGTACTCGGACCCTTCAGTGAAAATTTATGGCCTGCGCCGGCTTCGAGAGCATCCTGCCTGCAACGTCTCAGAAGGGAAAAGCTGTTGGAGGAGCAATCTGTGAGCGGGGCTGTACTTCCACACAGGGCACGTGGAGAATAGGTTTACCCTTTTTTTGTATTTCTAGAAGCTGAAGTGCAGCATTTGTTCTAAATATAAAAAAAAATAACACAACCAACCAACACACGCCTGGAGCTTGGAACGTCTGTCTTCTCTATGTGCATTTATAATTTGTTTGAATACATGCACAATTAATAATTTGCCTTTAGAGCTTTTCATTTCTATGGTGACTAAACCAGACTAGCTCCTCTAACTGGGAATAACTCATTTCTGTCCTGCTGCAGTCACCTTTTTGTTTTCTATTTGTAATTAAAGAGAAAAATTACAGTAAGAGAGAACAGAGCTGATCATACAGAACACACCTCTAAAATGAGGCATTTTTGTGTTTCGTTAATTCTAGGAAAATTTCCATTAGTGCCTTGAGTTTCTTCAATTAATTGCTTGAAGCTGTTTCCAAAAGCAACAAACTGGCAGGAAGAAACCCTCCCGAGGCCCCTGCACCGCGTCTGCAGGCGGCAGCACGGGAGCAGGTTTCAGCCCCGGGACCCTCGGTTCTTCCCAAGCTCCCCGCAAAGGGCTCCAGCACGGGGCTGGGCGAGGGCACCGGGTGATGGACAGGAGCTAGCAGAGTGTTTTTTCTAGAGTGCTTTTGCCTTTCAGAGAGCTGGGAGATGCCGTCAGGCTCACCTGCACAAACCCAGGGCCGCCAAGCACCAGCAGACAACAGCGAGCGGGTCGGGCAGTGCCTGTAAAAGATGACTGGCTGCTGCGACCCAGCGGGGTCCTAGGAAATCAGGTCAGTTCTTCATGCAGCAACTGAACACAAGTTCAACTCTGGACAGAGTCCATGTGCTCTCTAAAAAAATAAAAAATAAATAAAAAAAAAAAATCAACATCATCTGCGAGCAAGATTTCTCTTTTAATTAAGACAGTAATTTGGAGCAAAATCACTTTGGCACAGATGTAAAAAAATAACTCATTGTTAAAATCAGCATTACAATACTTAAGCTTTGTGTATATGACTCACAGAACATAGCTGCAACCACAATTTAGGCATCTGAAACCTCCTCTGCATGTTTTGGAGAAGCCAGGCCCTTCAGAAATGATCCCATAAATAAGGGCAGGGAAGTGCCTGCCAGCCCCCATATGGACTGCTCCTGCAGACCAGCTCTTTCCTGAGCTACTTCTGCTGGCATGGGGTGTTGATGTTAAAGCCACTGGACACCGGGTGGGTATGACCACAGAACGAAGCAGTCCCAGCAGACCAAACTTTGCTTGTGAAACAACAAAATCTGTTCCCTCTTCCCTCCCCTCAAATCCCTAAGGACCAGAGCGTTACGAAAGCAAGAACCAGGTTGCTATGACTACTATAAATTAACATCAACTTCTCTTTAATGCTTTCCTTCTTAAAAATCTAGTTTTTACTTATGTATTTTGAGTCTGGATCTAAAATTTTTCACATCATGTTTCTGATACAGCATTTGCTAAAACTGTCCAGCTATTTCAATAACTCATTTAGGAGAACGTGTCCTGCTTTGGCCACGGTTAATTCTTCGAGCCCGCCACGAATCATAGAAGGGGCTTATCATTTGGCTGGAGGGATGTCCTCTGATTGCTAGTGAGAATCTGCACAAAGAACCACACATGGATAAACTAGACAGTTTTATAACGACCCTCAGTACACACCAACAGGCTCTAATTGCCCTGATAAGCCTCCCCTGGGGCCCCCAGGTGTACCCACCCCTAGAAGTGGCCGAGGAGGGCTCGTGGGCAAGCTCAGTCCCTGCCCGAGCTCTGCTGTGGCTGCCCTGGCACCACGCTGGCCCCGGAGCTGCGCTGTGGTGACACCCGTCCTGCTCTGCCCGACCTTGGGCAGCTCTGCTGTAACTCAGAAAACGCCAAGCCCTGAGCACAGGGCGAGTACGGAGCAGCACATGTGACAAGACGGAGAGCTGGAGGTGGGCTGGGGTGACACACAGCGCACGGGTCCGGGGAGAGGCACGATGCCACCACGGGGCCAACCTGCTTCCAACTAACAGCGCTGTGATACCCACCTCTACCCACCTGCTCTAGGAGGGCAGACAGGAGACCAAAGTTGGGTTGCAGAGCCAAAACCACTTTGTGGGACCAGCTCTCTACGCCTCCATGCTTCATCTGTAAAGGAAAATTGAGAACAATTTCTTGCCCAACTTTTTTGCCTGCTTAGATTGGGGAGTGAGTTAGATCAGGCATTGTTTTATTGTACATTGTTTAGCGCAACAGGTCTTTACACCTCTCTCATTCGCTAAGTACTGCTTCAATGTAGTGATAAAAATAATATCTGAAAACCTGATCTCTGCAAAAACAATCCTTCCCTGCAGAAAAAAAAAAAAAAAAAAAAAAAAAAAAAAGACTGACAAAGTGAATTGATCATACCTCCTTCCCAAAATAGGGTTAAGGTTGTGCATGTTTTGAATCCTATTAGTAAATTACATTACACAAGCCAACATCTCTATTTGCTGCAGTGAAATTGCAAATTAACCCCCTCTAAAAGTGGGTCAGCTCACATCACCTAAAAGATCAGCACTGTGTGATCAATCTTAATATCGTTATCGAGTAATCTGTAGAAAACCGTTTGGCAGACAATGCTCTTTGACTCCATGCCCAGGGCTTCTGCTTTGTGATTAATGGTTGTGCTATTCCCCATTTGTCCCCTGATAAGTTACACCTGTCCAGCACTTAAGCTGACTTCATCTGAAATTCATGGAAGCTTTAAAAAAAAAAAAAAATCACCAAAAGGGAAAGAACAAAAGATGAAAAATGTCGTTCTCGGTGTTTAAGGGAAAAGTTACTGGAAGTTCATATTTCAGATTTACCCCTTGACAATCACGCTTTTCAGAGTGCTTCTGATTTAATGCTTTCCAGATGTATACAATACTTTTTACATGTAAAATTCTGAACACATACTTACCCTTAAAGATTTTTCCCATGGCATTATTATCCAACCCACCAAAGGAACAGAATCTATTTTCTGCAGCTCAGACTAAACTGGGCTGGAGTCCTCCAAGTGCCAGCTGGCAAACCCGTGTAACGTATGGATAGTTGGTATTTGTGTGATGCCATTTACTGAAACGATATACTTCTGTCCCTCGGTATTTTCTCAAAAGGTTATTGACTGCATCATGGCTGAGTGATTTACTGCCACAGGTGAGCGTTCCTCCCAGCTCCTGCCAGTGCTGCAGTTCCTCGAGACACAGGAGGCCAGCAGAAGGCTCTTACGGCTCAAACTCTCCCCTTCAAGTGGGGCTTATACATGTTTTGCCAGTTATCAGGCCTAGCATAAAGGACAGAGCCAGCCTAAGGATGAACCAATAACCAGACTGGACTTGACACAAAAGGGTCAGTCCATGGGTGAGCGCTGGGGGCACAAACCAGTCACTCGGGTTACGCCTAATCGACATCAATCCCAACGACCCCAACAACGACACCGCCCGACCAGCGATGGTGCGATGAACAGTGACACAGAGTCTCCCAGAGAGGGGACGGGAGACAACCAGGGCAACAGCCCAACACATCAGACCAAGGCAGCCCCGTCCCGAATCCCTACAGAGCCGCGTTTACAAAAGCCAGACCTGCCTGGAGCCCAGTCCCCGGGCGGCGGGAGGTCCTTCCCCAACAGGGAACTCTGCCCAGGGCGTCCCCCTCGCAGACAGACCCTGCCCTGCTCCTGCGAGGGGTCCCCGCTGTTCTCCTGCGGGGGACCCCTGACCTTGGGTGACTCAGTGTGGGACCCCTGGGGCTCCTTGACCCAACAGCTCTGTCTGCCAGGCCGCCCCACCCTGGGGGGAAGCCTAAAGGGAACCTCACCCCCCTTGGGAAGGGCTGGGGGGATCAAACACATGTCAGCCTTCGTGTGGGCTTGGGGCTGAAACCCCGGCAGTTCAACACAGTATGGACTTCATTTGGGGTTAAATACAACTGTGAATATCATTAATGATTAATATAACTTTTTATTCCAAAGAATCATTATTATTTTTATGCGTTATTATTAACGTTGCTTGTCTTTTCTAGGCTCAATATTTTACCTAGCAGCTGAAAAACTAACAGCCTCATGATGCTGAGCCCTCGCTCTATGTTTCTACAGCAGACAGCATCGCAGGAAAACCCTCCGATCAAGGAACATTACAGTTATTAGTTGAATCAGGACCTCTGCTTTTTTCCTGTATAACGGATCCAACTGCATCCACGCAGTATTTTACCATTATAATATCAGCGCCCTCAGGAGTAACGAACACTTTGAAATACTAAGATCAGATGGCTTTCCACCCCAGCAATGTCAGCTTTCGGGACGTGTTGAACAATCCTTTTTGTAGGCCACCGACTTGAAGAAGTCACAGTCGTACGGACCACGAGGAGCAGAGCCCTGCCTTCCTGTAGCTAGCGTTTGGAAGAAACGGCTTCTGCTGACTTCAGTCGCCCGTTTTTCTGAATTGGACCATGTGCCTCTGCTACTATTCATGCAACCAGGTCGTGCCAAAATTCCCAGCCTACTGCTGTTTGCCCCCTTCCACCTGCTTGCTCCTGCCTACAGAAGAGGTTTCCAGAATTAAACTTGGTCCTAAAAGGGTTGGCAAGGAAGTTTAAGCCTTCAATTTAAGCCTGCAATTAAGTCTTTAAACTGATATTCGGATTCTAAGCCAGTTAAGTGAATAAACAGCTAAACTAGAAGAGTTTTCATACTATACCCTTGAATTTGTAGATAACTGGGGGGTTTGGGGGGAGAAAGGCGTTATTTAGTTGGGGTTTTTGTTGATTTTTTTTCTTTTTTCTTTTTTCTCTCCTTTCAGAGAGGTAGGCCAGGAGAGTACATTGCACTTCCCCCCTCCCCTGGACATTTTATTGTCAATGCTGCACACCCAATTATTTTTATTTTTTGGCTTGCTAGTTTAAAGGCTCCTTACCGTTAACATCCCCATGAGTTAAAATAAAGTTTTGGCCTCAGTTCATTCATGACATAACTCCAATGACCGTGGAAAAACAAAGACCAATTTGTTCTACAGCATTCTTTAAAAAAAGTCATTAAAATACCACATAAGTTTTTAATGAGTTGTAAAACCAAACTATTGCTCACCGATAAAGAACAAGCAAATCATAAAAGGAGGAATCACGTAAAGCCTCATGAATCTTGATTCAGGCCCTAATTCCTAGGTGGTTCAAAGTACAACGTTTTTTTTCCTGAGATTTCAGAAATCCTATTTTCATTTGGATCACTCCAAGGCCACAGAAATACTTTCTTCTTCTCTGGCTTAATTTTTTATCCTTGTCTCAACTCCCAGAGCCACAAAGTGCAGGGCAAAAACTGCATCTTATTCATTAAACAGAAAGAGGAAATAAATTCCAAAATATGCTGCTTTTCCCTCAGAATACAACCAGAAAGCGTCGCTACTTCATGTTAGCTGATACATACAACTGATGCACCCCACCCATTTCTGTCTTTTGCCAGCTCTGTTCAGTTTACATTTTGGCCCTGCACATATTGCAATCACGCTAAACTGTGAGCAAACATGAATGCTTTAATGGCAAAATACTACAAAATCAATTGTTAAAAAAAAAAAAAAGTGAGGTGGAAAGAAGCTCATCCATCATAGTAAGTACTAGAGAGGTGAGAGTCTGTAGCAGGAGGTGGTGGAGATGTTCTGCTTTAGACAAGGGAACCACCACAAAAAGGCAGCAGGTTCGATCACCTACTCCAACATCAGCCTACACTTAAGGCCAGGCAAAATTTTTAAGCTGTCCTAGAGAGCGATGTCATGCAATAATCAAACCACTGCAAATACGGCGCCCGTCAGCGTCAGTTTGTTTTTATACCAAACTTCTACCCCACCCTGCGATGTGATCAGAGGGAAAAGGGCTTCAAACAAGGACAGAAGAATCTTGTACTCTTCAAATGCAACACGGGCTTTAATGCAAAACTTAAAGGTCTTCAAAAGAGAACCACAGCTTACACTTCTCTAGAAGAAGAGTTGGCGGAAAGGAGAGTTGTTTTCACAGAACGCTGTCAGCATGGAGACAGTGCAATCCTAAAAAAGATAGTGGGGAAGAACCACTAGTCCTCTCCAGTAAAGGGCCGTGATGGGGTGTGGCGGATAAGACATTCTGCCGGTATCTTAAATCCCAGATAAAAATCTGATTCTATACATACGACTCCTGGCATATTGAGGTAGGAGGGGGTCCATCTACTTTGCTTTCCGTTGCTCACAGCAGAATTGTCTACTATTGCAGCCTCTGAATTCTTTGCAAAGGCAGGGGAAGAGGAGGAAAGAATTACGCTAAAAGGAATAGACGGACCTATAAAGATTTTTTTTTTCATATCAATACAAGAACATATCAAAACCATTGGAAAACAGCAGAAACTGAATCACAGCTTCTTTATACGCCTCCTGGTGTTGTTTCTCCTATAAGAACGGTCCCGTGTATTCCTCATCCAGCTCTGCAGATAATTTTAATCTATCAAAGCATTCACAGATTGAAGACCGTTATCTATACGCAGCCTCTGCCAAATTACGCATCTTCACGTACACTCCCATATGTTTTGTTCAGTCTGTTATTAAATTAATCAAACATGGCAGCTACTACTAATGGCTTGCTTTAATAGGCTGCATCCATCACCGCACGGACAGGGTTTGTGCACGCTGCCTTTGCTCAGCCGTGGGCGTGTTCACACTTGCCCTCCTGTGCGGCTCGCATCTATTCTCTCTCGCCACTCGTCAACGGGCCCGTATTTATCACCGGCGGGAAATGCAGATGCGGGCAGCGCTAGACTGACATACTGACTTGCCAGATTCGGTGCCAAAACAATGGCAGAAATTTCACATTCGCTAAATCCAAAACGTGGATTTTGCAGCTTTCAAAAAACCACCCAAGTAACTCCGTCGCGTTTTCCCAACTGTTCAGATGCAGTTACATTTTCTCCCTAACACTGAAACGGCTCTTCCAGGGCTACAGAAAAGCATGCTGATAAGATTATTTTCATATTTTCAAGCACACAGTAACACACTAAACTCTCACATTCTACACATCTCCCCTGTTTTCAGTGCGATTTGATTTTGGTTGGCAATTGATGTAACAGTGGCTTCAGCTTAACCCTTCCGAGTGCATCCACCATTCTGGTCAGGATCATAAGTAACAGTGCTCCCTCAAAAACCGAGTAACATACTGGACTGAAATATTCACCCGTTATATACATATTTTCCACTCAGACAGCTTCAACTATTAACTTATGAAAGCCTTTAGTGCATGGAAGCGATGAGATTAAACGATGCCTTTTGATATACTTCTTCCCTTCCACCTCAGAAGACGGGTATTAGCTAAAGCCATTCATTTTATCTACAGGGATCTCCATAATGCTTTATCTGTTAAACAATTTCATTAAATTCTCCATCCCTAGCAGAAATAAGGTGCAATTTCAAACAGCCAGGGATTTTAGCTACCTTTATCACTCCTGAGATGCAGTAAATCCATGTTTATTCAGTCAAAATAAACCAGATGATCCATATGTTAAAATACCTCCCAAGATGTAACTAGCTGCTCATGAGGTTGGACTCGTGAAGAACAAAACGGCCTTTTCTCACCACTGCCGCTTGTCACAGCATCCGGGAAGTGCTAGATACCAGAGAAATACTGACCAACATAGCAATAATTACGATTGCATAAATGGAAGAGAGTTTCGAAACAGCAGGGCCCCTATCGGCACCAGATCTCAAGCCCCGTCACACGCTTCTCCCTTTGACAGACATTGGTTTCCTAAAACTGAAAAAGAGACGAGGCAGCTTGCATAGCACCAAGCAAATTAGGGAATATTTCTCCTGCCAAACTGAGAAAGTGGAGGTGGAAATCTCTCTGCTGTGGTAAGAACATCCATAATTCTGGCGTTTACCTAAATTTTCAGAGGCTGACTGGCTTTGAAAACATATGCTGCAGTGTTGTGTAAAGCGGGTTCAGGAGGTACTAGCTGATGGTTTGGAAGACAGACAGCGTTAAATATTATGCCTTCTATAGAAAACATAGGAGGCAGAACTAACTA